TGGTTAAGGAGCAGATTTAAATGTGAGCCAAGCTGCTCCTGTAAAGTAGCAATTTCTCCATATTGATGGAAACATACCAGTGTAAATGTTTGTAAAACAGCAATAGAAGAATAGAATACAGCTGGAAGGGATCTTGGAGGTCTTCTAGTCCAGCCCCCGGCTTAAGCAAGGAAACCTATACCATTTTCAGATAAGTGACTTTCTAATCTTTTCTTAAAAACCTCCAGTGGTGGAGCGCTCATGATTTCTGAAGGCAAGCTGTTCCGCTGGTTAATTGTTCTCACTGTTAGGAAATTTCTCCTTAATTCCAGTTTGCTTCTGTCTTTGATTAGTTTCCAACCATTGTTTCTTGTCCTGCCCTCTGATGCTTTGGAGAATAATTTGACCCTCTATTCCTTGTGGCAGCTCCTCAAATACTGGAATACTGTCATCATGTCACCCCTAATTCTTCTTTTCTCTAGACTAGCCAAACCCAAATCCTGCAACTGTTCTTCATATATTTTAGCCTCCAGGCCTTTGATCCTATTAGTTGCTCTTCTCTGCACTTTTTCCAAAGTCTCAACATCTTCTTTGTAGTATGGTGATCAAAATTGGTTGCAGTATTCCAGGTGTGGTCTTAACTAGGGTTTTATAAAGTGGTTCAATATTGATGAATTCAATATTCAACATTGAACTGTAACTACCAAGTATTATAGATTAAAGCCAGCTGAATCTATCAAGCAGGATGCAGTAACGCTGAAATGTCGCATTTCTGTTTATAATTCATTGTAGGATTGGGATTTTCAGAGCAAAATAAGTGATTTGGGTCTTGGAGAACCTTAAAGCATCCCTAGAACCAGTTTTTTTTGGGGGGAGGACTCCAAATGGAGTTAATTATTTCCACAGGAATGGGTAATGGATGCTTGGTTCCCACAGGCCAGGCAGCGCTGGGCGAAAAAAACGCTATCTACCTTTGCTACAGATCAGTAGTTCTCAACTTCAGCAGCTTTAAGATTGTGTGGACTTCAGATCCTAGAATTCAATTCTGGGAGTTGAAGTCCACACACCTTAAAGTTGAGGAACACTGCTATAGACCAGTGGTTCCCAAACTTGGCAACTTTAAGACTTGTGGACTTTAACTCCCAGAATTCTCAGAGCTAGCTGGAGAATTCTGGGAGTTGAAGTCCACAAGTCTTAAAGTTGCCAAGTTTGGGAANGTATATAAGTCTAACTGCTATTGCTATTGCTAAAATTGTGGCGCTGACCAGTGACGGAGCTGCAGCAGAGGGAGAAAAGAGCCGCATGTGGCTCCAGAGCCGCAGTTTGTTGACCCCTGCTTCAAGGAAACCTGAGCCATCTACAGCTTTTGCACCTACACAATTTCGCTTTCCTATATATAGATGTAATGATCCCTTCATTGAGAAAAATCTGAATACATTATTAAGGGAAAAAATGGTTTGGATGATTTTGCAGCAAAAAGCGTGGAGGTTTGGGGGAAAAATGGTTTAAAATGAGTGTATCTGGAGAAAGGGGCACAGTGGCTCAGTAACTAAGACACTGAGCTTGTCAATCAGAAAGGTCAGCAGTTCAGCGGTTCGAATCCTTAGCGCAGCGTAAAAGAGTGAGCTCCCATTACTTCTCCCAGCTTCTACCAACCTAGCAGTTTGAAAGCACATAAAAATGCAAGTAGAAAAATAGGAACCATCTTTGATGGGAAGGTTACAGTGTTCCATGCCCCTTCGCCGTTTAGTCATGCCAGCCACATGACCATGGAGACGTCTTTGGACAGCACTGGCTCTTCGGCTTTGAAATGGAGATGAGCACTGCCCCCTAGAGTTGGGAACAACTATCACATTTGTGTGAGGGGAACTTTTACTTTAACCCTTATCTGGAGAAAAGACATGAAACAGCACACTTTTCACTGATTGATTGCCATATTTGCAAGAGTTTTTAATAGAAATACGTCACCAGCACCAAGAAAAACTAAGAAAATTGTTTTGCCACCCCCTATTCTTTAGACATTTAATTCCTATTTCCTTAGCATGATTGATAGTTCTCTGGTTTTCCTTTCACACTTATTCGTTAGTGTAAACTCTGATTGCCATAACCAGAGCTTGTGTAAACCTAATTTGGAACCCAGGGCAATTTATGGTTTGGCCATCTAAACAGATGACTTAAAAGTCTTGAAATTGAAATCAGCATATTTCGGTTAAATTATATTCTGGACGTCATCGTAAGCAACCTTTAAGCTTTGGAACCATTACCATCCAGTCATGATGTATATGATACACCCATCCTTATCAAGTACCATGCAATTAGTGCTTTCAAAATCAAGGGGGAAGGTAGGTCATATGTTCAAATCCAAATGCTGGACATTTGAAAAATAGCAAATCCTTGCATTTTCAAAAGGACACCAGAGGCATGTTCCTGCCAAGGAAAGTGATGCCCATTAGGATTATAGTCTAGCTGTATGGCACACCTAGGCAGGTTCTCAGAGGATTCTAAGCAGGGGTGAAATTCAGCAGGTTCTGGAAAACCGGTAGCAGACATTTTGAGTAGTTCAGAGAACCGGCAAATACCACCTCTGGCTGGCTCCAGAGTGGGTTGGGAATGGAGATTTTGCAATGTCCTTCCCTGCCCCCCAGGAGCCAATAATGGACCTTATGGTTAAACATAAATTGCACTTCAAAACGATTGCTCACAAATGCAATTACGGTTGTTCAGTTCTAAACATAATACGTAAACCTACCACTTTCCCACAGCCGAGGATCAAATAGGAATCACTGCTTCTGAAATATATGGACCAAGTTTGAACACTTAAAGCCAAAGACATGACTGACTCCACCAGTGGTGGGATTCAAATAATTCAACAACCAGTTCTCTGCCTTAATGACCAGCTGGGTAGGTGGGCTCGGTGATCATGTGATTGGGTGGGTGTGGCCAATTCATCATCATGCATGTCAATGGGCACTTCTCCTTAGCTGTTACAATGTAATAAGGGTTAACCGGAGAGGCAGTTTCTGTANAAATAACCCTAGGTTAATTCAGGAACAAAATTAAGCTTCTCGTGTGAGCACAGCCCATAAGGCTGATCCTTTTCCCATGGCCCAGAAATTCTGAAGCTGGGAAATTAAGTTCCTTTGTAGGGCTAAGCTCATAAGCATATATGCTTATTTGTTGTTGTTTTGTTTCTTACATTGGGAAGTTTTTCTTCCAGTAGCAATTTTTGCCACATGTCTTGATCACTTTGCAGAAGTATCTTCTGAGACCAACCATCTCAGCAATCCCAAATGGGGGAAGGTAGGGGGCCAATTGGATCATCTCTGGTGCAATCTCTGCCGAATGATCTGTAAATCCTAGCAACTACTAGTCCCCAAATTTGGGCATAGCTGGCTGGAGAATTCTGGGAGTTGAAGTCCACAAATCTTAAAGTGTCTTAAGTTTGAAGACCTCGGTACTAGACAGAATGGTGTGTGGAGTAATAGTCCTATTGCTGTCTTCGGACCGAACCATTTTGCTATTTTTGAGAGGCGGGGGAGTTGGACCAAGGAAGATACCTTTATCATTAAGCTCCTGAGATCACTTAGAAGAGGTAAACTTGGAGATGTTTTTATCTTGGTTCCCCTTAAGCCATAATCCAGCCTTCTCCAATCTGGGTGCCCCAGAATCCCCTAGCCGAGAACTCTGGGAGTTGAAATCCACACATCTAGAGGATGACCAAATTGGAGAACCATCAAAATTTAGAAAGGACCATTCCAAACTTTGCTGTGGGCAAAACACTCACACCGAAGCATCCCTAACAGATGACGATGATGATGATGATAAAACCTATGCTTAACTACATCCAACAGATGCGAACATAGCACCTATTTGGTGAAGCCGGAGTAATTAGTTTGGACAGGCATAGAAATCACTTGGGCTAAGAACCACATTGGAGAGATAAAAGGGATCTATTCTTCTTTTTTTTTCCACGTTCAAAGTTATTTCCAGACTCAAAAATCTGCAGGTGTGGGAAGGACCTCACCCCCTCACAACCGGCCTACCCCATCTTTGAAGCGGGGAGGGGGGAAGAAAGTCAGGATTTCTGCCTTGAATGTCTCCTTCTGTGTTTCATAGTTCCCTTGTCATGCCCTGTCCTGTTCACCATTTAAATCTTGTTCGTTTTTAAGCTGAGGTTTTTCGAAAATCAAAAGGCAACGTCAGAGAGACAAGGCAGGAGATGGAATTCAATTGCCAGCCCTCCCACCAAACTAATAAAATATTGTCACTTCTCTAAGCATGGTACTGGACCTGGACTTTTCAGTGAAATGAGAATATTGGGGGGCTGGAGGTGGCTGGGAATTGGAAATAAATTGTGGGGAGGAGAGATATTTGCCTATTTGCTAGAAGGATGCAGAAGAAGTTTGAAGGAAAACTTTAAAAGACCAACTCACAAACGTGAGATCTCTTTCTACCTAAACAGTATGTTTCTGTCATGACTTTTGGATCCGTTTCCCATAGAAAAGAAAACACCGGGAGCCACAAAGGTCCTAACCGGAAGCCCCCTGTTCAATTCTGGAGCTGACCGGAAGTTCAGTTCCCCNGGGGGGGGGGAACTGGTTTATCTGCCAAATGTATTTAGTTGCAGGTGTTTAGACATTCTAGAGGGACCAACGATGGTCATGGTTTAGGCTAGAGGTGTCCAACCTTGGCAACGTTAAGGCTTGTGGACTTCAACTCCCAGAATTCCCCAGCCAGCATGCCTGACACCCCTAATTTAGACAATCTGTATGATAACATTGGACAGGATTCTTTCAACCTCTGCATTGGGGTTTGAGCTCAAGTTTTAATATCTCTGGTGGAGTCAGCTATATCAAACAGGGGGAGCATCCGTTACCGCATATGCATCTTTTCTCAAAAGTCTGTTCTTTTAAGGTAGCCTTTTCTTCCATCATCCTTCACCATTGTAGATATATACAAGGTGTCTTCTTCAGCAAACATGAAGATTGTCCTGAAATCACATTCACTCTGTTTTTCCACAGGAACCTGACACCTTGGTAACCATCAACCGAGGGGCCCTGATTGGTCTCCTCATCGTAGCAGTGGCGGTTGCCATGGTGATTATCATCAGCCTCCTGATGGTTCGCCGAAAGCCATATGGGACCATCAGTCACGGCATTGTTGAGGTACCTTTGGGAAAAATAAGCTCTCTGCTTTTGGGGGTCTGGACAAATTTTAGGGATTGCAGGTTTTGAGAAGAATTCGAGACTTCATAAAAGTTTTTGAAAGCTTTCGCTCACACCAGGTTTTCTCCACTCTGTTTATCTATCGCGAGGGGGCAGCGTCATGTGGAGGAGAGCATTGCCTGCTGTTCTGATGCATTGCGGAGATAGAAAGCACATGGTGGCTTCCTTAAGAGCTGTGGCTATGGTAGCTTCCTTCTTGGTGCATTGTTCTGCAGACACACAGGAGAAGAGATTCCATTAAGTAATATCAACGAGAAAGGAACACAAGCTTAGATAGGACCTTATGAAAAGCATTTCTGAGAATCGGGGAAATTGACTGGGATGGTTTTGGGGAACATCCAGCCAGGGTCTCAAGCAAGGAATTAGCCTTCAATCCTCACACAGGTGTAAGAGATCCAGAACTGACTTCCCCTTAAGGCAAAGGCTGGCAGTCTGGGGAAATTCCTGTATTATAGGCAGAGTATAATAAAGTAGTTAGCTTGAAGCCTATGCATGTGGGTCTGGTTGTTTGTGCCTGGCAAATAGTATTGGCATATGATGATGATCATCATCATCATCATCTTTTAATGACACAATAGTCCCTAGTGTGGTGGAGTCTGGGAAATTGAATGGAACTAGCAGTGTTTTAATGGCCAGATGCCCTTCCTGTCACCAATGCGGAGTTTTGTGTAGCAGATATATACTCAGTATGCCCAGAGAGTGTAATATCTGCCTCTACCTAGGATCGAACTTACAGCCTTCTGATTGTGAGGTGAGAGCGCCACCTCTAGGCCACTGCACCACTCAGCAGGAGGAGGAGGAGGAGGAGGAAGAGGAGGAGGAGATGATGATGATGATGATCATTATTCCATTGCTTTGCATATACAATGAGAGCTTTTGCATGGGAGACAAATTCCAGGGCCAAAGAAAATACTCAATGCAATTCATATCCTTAAGAAATCTACTGATCAACATTCCGAGCTCCAGGCATGTTGGTAGAAGCTCGATGGAGCCTCATTGCTTGACTTTAATTAACTCTCTTTTCTTTTTCTTTTCTTTTTTTCCCTTTTGTTCCCCTTCCTGGCAGGTGGATCCCATGGTTAGCCCGGAGGAGCGGCAGTTGAACAAAATGCAAAACCATGGCTACGAAAACCCCACGTACAAATTCTTTGAAGAGATGAACTGAGTTCCTTGGGGCTGGGGCTTGTGGCATGACCGGGGGTGGTGGGCATGACCATGTGGATGGAGGGGTTGGCATGTAGAACGGGAGAAGGGTGTTTTTCCACCCAAGAGCCCTTCTCTTTTTCTGTGCCCCGTCTGAGCTTCGCTCTCACCACCTCATCCGCCTTCTATTTTGTTCTTCCATTTGCCATTCCTGCTTCATACTTCCTGGGCTTTCTAGCTACTGCTACAAGCCGACTCCTTGCCATTTATCCCACTTCTTCCATTTCAACTTCTCAAGGTCTAAATGCCTGTATCGACACGCGCACCATGGTTGCGTTCACACAACATGCTTAACCAGCTTTCTTACAAACCTGCCTTTGCTGAAGCACTCGGCTTGATTCATCTTAATCTTGTGTTGTGTTATTTTTTTTTTATGGCTTAGCATGTTGGGCAAACAGATCCGATTTGGTTCGTTTTCAGATGGGATGTCCTGTGGGAAACCACCCGCGTTGGTTAATCCCGCCGTCTAGTTCAGCATGTTGTGTGAACCGAGGCATTCCCACCAAGCTGCCAGCATCAGGTTTCAACTCTTGTATTTTAAGCCAACTCATCTCAATGGGTAAACTGCACGTTGTGGAGAGAAACAGTTGAACCTACAGAATCTATCATGCAGTTATGGGGCCACCAAATGTCACACTGTGCACCCTTAAAACCTCTATGTTCCAATCAGTAACCAGTGCTCATTGTGCATCTTCCTAACTCACCTGGGGCCAAATCTCATGTTAAAATAACAGCCCATAACTCAGTATCCCCACAAAAAAAAAAAACACATCACCACCAAGCCCCTTAGAGACACTCATCACGTGGTTTTCCACAAAGCACCAGACCCTACATATTCCACGGCACACATTTGTGACTCCGCTTTGCAGGATTCTGTTGAAAAATGCAACACTTCCAGCATACCTGTCAGACAAGGGTTACCATCGCACGCTAGAATTGCCCATTGCTAACCTAGCTTGCCTCTGGCGTAGAAACCTGATTCCACCTTCACTTGCTTGCCTTTTTCTATCTCTGTTTGTCTTCTGCTTCTTTACTACACTGAACTCTTCACTCCTTGCACCTAATTTATTGGAAAGCCAGCTAAAGGCTGAGTAGATTGGGATAAGATAGCATCCATCAGCACTTTACTTGACTAGTTTGGAGAGGGGAGATTCAAAGATTGAGGCTCTTTTTTCTACACAGACACATCTGTTCCCTCCACTTCCCCCCCCCCCTTGCACTACGTAGAGTATAAAAAACAGGTTTGATGAAACAGATTTTGGCTACATTCACACCTTCAGTTAACCAGTCCAGTTACAAACCTAACAGCAGCTGAATTCACACAATACGCTAAGCTGAATTTAAGTTGTGGCTTTATATTTCTTTTGGGTAGCTTAACAAGTTGTGTGACTCATGGCTTTACGGTTTGGTGATTTGCGCAAGCCCCCCACCCACCCACCCCCAAATAACCCTAGGTTAATTCAGGAACAAAATTAAGCTTCTCGTGTGAGCACAGCCCATAAGGCTGATCCTTTT